CGAGAGTTATCTTGGGTAATGTAGCTCATGTAGTATAACTTTGCTGTTTTGAGCCTCTAACCTTGATTAACTAGTAAATAACAAGAAATTTTAGCTTTGTACATAGTTAATTAATTGAGTTAGAACTAAAAATAAAAACAAGATGCAACCAGATTTTTGTGCAGCTCAAACCGAGGCTAGCTGGAGATTTTCTTGGAAATTCGATGTTTTGGGTTGTGATTCAAACCTAATTTTTGAACTGGAAATGTTAACCAGTAAATTGAGTATCTATATGCCGAATTCGAGTAATTAAATAACTGAATAAACCAAGGAAAATTTTTAATACAAGATAAATGGTTACTGGAAAATTTAGCTAACCAAACGTTTGAGCAGAAAATATTGAATTGTTTCCGGATTTCACTAGTTGATGTTTGAATATTTTCCTTAGCATAAAATGGTTTCGAAACACAGGAAAAAGGTGTATCTTAAGATATACGTGTTGTTTAGCAATGAAACATTTGATATCACGAATGATTTAACCAAAAACGTGGGTATACGAATGCTGGAAATTTTCCTTGTAGTTGCCAAAGTTTGAGTAAGAATTCCCCAGCTTGAAAGTGAAATTATTCTTTGAGTTCATAATGGTTGAAATTGCCTGGAAAATGTGGTGCTAAAATTCTACAAGAGTTGTATGGATGGTTAGAATAAAAGCCTTATGGTTTTAAAAAGAGAAAAAGGAGCTTTTCCACAAGTGAGCAAGAGCATCCAGATTTTCGGATTTTACTGACCAGTCTAGGCAAAATGCATATATCTTGGTGTAGGAAAATCCGATTGAAGTGCCGTCAGTGGCATCTGAAACTAGATTCATGGGCCTTTATTCTGTAGAAATTTCATATTTTTCCGCCATGTATACTGCTGTCTGTGAATCCTCAAAGTAGACTATTTGGTATAAATGTCCTATTTCCTTCGTGAAACTAAATTTTGATTTGGATTGAACTTGTAATCTACTTGTGGTTTAAATCCTTGATTAAATTGTGGTTGGTAGTGATTGATGATGTCAAAGGCTAATGATTGATGAAGCCTTGGCCATTGGAATGATTTTATAAAGTATTACTGGATGATGGAAGTTAATTGCTGGAATGTCTTGGGGCTTTACTTTTATTTTTATTTGCTTATGATGGGTTTGCTGAAACCAAGTGCTAATGATTGATGAAGCCTTGGTTGATCATTTTATTTTATTCAGTAATGCAATTGTTGAAAGCTAGGGCTAATGATTGACGAAACTCTAGTAATTTGCTATGTGAATTTTTGCCATATTTTGATCCATATTATGACTTCGAAACGGAATCGGAGCTGTGGAAGTTGTATCGACCTTGCGAACTCGAGTAACTGTGATCAAATTAATCAAAAATATTTTTCCAGCTAGTATTATATTATAAAACTCCATATCTAGTGTTTTGCCTAAAACTTTCCAACTCGATAATTTTCTTTAGCTCAATCTAGCCTTGATAGCTATAGTAAATAAGTTCTATAGCTTTTGGAAACTCTAAGTCTTATTTTAATTCTTTTTCTTTCTTTAAGCTTTGCACTTGGATAGTTAACTATAGGAAAAGTTCCAAAATACGAGCTTTGCTAAGTTTAGTGAAAAGCTTGGGAGACTTGCTCGGCAAGAAACCCTATTTTAGGAAAAATAGTTTTTAAGGATAATTTTTGCAAAAGCCGTAACTTTAGAGAAATGTTCAAAGTAACTTTCTAACATTGTTGTTAAGAGATTTGTCGACTTATTTCAAGAAAATGATACTAGTTACCCTTTATAAGGAAGAGTATCTTACGGAAAACTACAAGAAACATTTTTACTACTTTTGCCAAGTTTCAACCTATGTAGATCTTTGAATTTACTTCGAAACGATAAACTAGTTATATACTCGATAAACCTTTATAGTTATAAACCTGGAACTAGAATAGAAATTGAAAGTGTTATAATTGTACTTTAAAGGTCAAACTTGATTTTAATAATTTTAAATAAAAGGCGCAGAAAACTTGTTTGGCATGAAATCTTATTCAAAGCAAACTGGTTCTGGTTTGCACCTCTAGAAAGGAAGAAATCCTACGAAGTATTTCATCACTTTCATCAGTTTAACTCTAAGGAAATTGTTGATTTATTTGGAGTAGATAAACTAGTTATGTACCAAATAACTTTGTATTTATAAACCAAGAACCGTATAACAACACTTATAGTTTTAAAACCTGGTTTTCTAGGGTATAGCGAGGACGTGGAATTTTGAATCCCAGCTTGAACTCTGAACTTCAATTTTGGTGAGTGTCCCTGCTTGTTTTATGCTTATGTGGTTAAGCGCTTTATCAACTCGCTATGTGATAATTGTCAAAAATGAAACAAATGGTTTCTGATGTGAGGACTCGCAAAATTTACTTATTTAATCTCCTATTTCTCGCTTATTTAATTATTTATTTGGCCTTTTACTCCGAATATTATTTTCTAAGCTCTTGAGACCTAATTACATGGAAATATAGTTTCATTATATTTTTAAAATGACTTGTTTCAAAAATTAATTTCCGGAAGCTCGTTTAGTGAAAATAGTGAACACGTCTTTGGAAATCTTGACTGATTGAGAGTACAATAAGTTTGGAATATTGGAGATTTGTATAATAGACCTAAATTAGGTATTTTAATGTTTAAATACTCAAGTGATAGTTATTAGTATTATCGTTATAAGAATTTCTCGGAAGTTTCGCGTTATCGCGCTCAGATTGGAGATACGCGTTTTCACACGCGTGATTTTAATTTAGGAACTTTAGACCCTTATTTTGAGATAATTAAGAGTGAATGATATTTATATGAATATAAGTGCATTAGAGGTTTAGTGCACTAGTGAAACAAACGCGAGAGGAATCGAGCACGAAACGCGCGCGAGTGCGCGCGTTAGTAGGGTTGACTTTTGCACAATTATGGGCCACACAAATGAACCTTCTCTTGGAAGCTAAAATCTGATCACTCTCTCTCTCTCTTGCTTCCTCATCTGGCCGGCTAACAAAGGAGAAAAACAACTCCAATTCCATCCTAATTTCTTCACCAAATCTTCTCCATTTCACTTCAAATTTCAACCACTCTTAGCTAATTACTTGGAGATTACATCAAGCTAAGAAAGAGGGCTGCTATCCACGGTTTTCTTGAGCATCTAAGGGGCCGAAATTTCTGCCTTCATCCTCTAATCAAGTAGGTGTTAATCAACACTTAAATCTTGCTTTATGAAGATCATCTTACATGTATAAGGTAGTATTTGCATTTGGGTAGCTTGTTTATGGTGTAAAATGAAATGGGTGGGCTCTATGAACTCCCACCTTTGTCTTGAGGACTGATCTCATGCTTGATGATGGATTTAATGGTGGTTTAGTGCTTAAATTAGTGGATTAATGTTGTATTGTTGGTAGAAAATCATAGGAGGTGCTTGGAGCAAAAGTGACCGATTTACCCCTGTCTTGTCCGACCATTTTGTGCACAATTTTGAGGTTCTAATGACTTGATTATATTTTTTACATGTTAGTGTGAGTGTGTACAAAATTTCATTGAAAAATAACATGATTTGGTTGGTCAAATGAGTTGATTTCCAAAGTTAGCAAAACTGGAAAATGAATCCCGTATTGCCCAGGCAGTCATTTTGTATCGGCTATAACTCTTTGCTCCGATGTCGAAATCAAGTGCCGTTTGTGGCATTGGAAACTAGACATTCCCAGATTTCCATTGGTACCAATTGCACGTTCTGGTTCCACTTGAGTGAGCAACACCATTCGATTGAAAGTCACTGTCCTGTTTCGTTTCTCTCCAGGAGACAGGACAGGACTTGTATCTTGATGCTCACAAACGAGCTGTTTGTGAATGGAATTTGAAAATGGTTTCTTCTTAGAAAATTCATCTTTATGAGAGAGCTTTCCAACGCCATCAACCACGCCCAATTCCAAGTTGAATTGAGTGAGTTGTGGCCAAAGTTTGAAACAGCTACAGTGATAGAATTTTCCACTTGGACAGATTTGTAACTAACAATGATTTGGGACTTGTTATTTCGAAATTCTTGATGTAAATCACCTATCAAATGTATTTTGAATTCTTGCTAGACCTGATTATCATAAACGAGACATGTTTTAGGTATCTTCCCTTGGTCAAAAGTTTAGAAAAGGAAATTTTCATACACGAGGCAGCTTTGCCTTAAAAATTTGGAAACTTGAGTGATTTCGTTAAGTGACTTTCCGTGCATATTTTTCTATGAAATTTGACAGAGGAATAGCCCTTATATGGTAGTATAATCATACCAAATTTGGTGCCATTTCGAGTCTGTTTAGATGTTCAAACAAAGTCCCAAAGTTCATGTTTAAATCTGGAAATTCTTGATCGAGGAGGAATTTTTAGCCAACTTTGAGCTGCTATATCTTGGCACTCAAAACTTCAATTCTTGTACCGTTTGTTTTGTTTTAAACTTTGATTGTAGGTCTATTTGAGTTCTAAATTTCGGAGGTTAGTTCGTATTGTATGAATTTTGCCGGATTTCCAAAGATGGTCAAAAACCAACCCCGAAACTGTCTAAATGGTCCCAAGCAGCAACTTTGAGTCAATTTTTGAATACCTTCTGTTTGGAATCATGGAAAAGTATCTTCTAGGAACTTTTATCGCTTTTGAAGAAGTTTCCAACGGTATCAAGCTTTCCAATTTTGGACCTACATAGTGCAAGATACGATTTTTCTAAAATTGACACCCAAAGCTGAAATTTGTCAATTTCTTAGAAAATGAGATTTTGGAAACTTGCCTTCTTTTCTCGATACCGATTGAACATTTTGAACTCGATTTCATGGAAAATATTAGTCTCTCTCTTTAGACTTTAAAACTTTACTCTTGAGCCTCGATTATTAATAATTAAGGCCCAATTAATGAATTCCCCTTAGATTGTATAACCTTCTTTGATAAGTAGGGGTTCTAAGTGATAGTGTATAATAGTTAATGGTTATTTGCCCAAGCGCTCAAGGGGACCTTCAAGAGGAACTCGAAGTGGACGCCTAGACATTGTTTGAGTATTACTCTCTTGTTGCTATAGGTGAGTGTTCCATATAGGAATACGTAATTGGAATAAGTCTATGACATGCATAACCCATGATTATTAAGTGTTAACTACTATATGTTAAGTATTTACCACACTCATGCATATCTGAATAAGGTATACTTGAATTACTCGACATGAAATACCTGAAATATGTATATTTGAACTATTCGATGTGAAACACTTGAAGAGCATATTTACGTGACTACTTGAACTATTCGATATGAAATGCTTAAAGAGCATATTTATGTGATTACTTGAAATACTAGATATGAAATGCTTGGAGAGCATATCTACATGATGTGTTTAAATGATTAATTATGCTATGACAGCATAAGTAGGTTGGAGTGAATCTCCTCGACTCTTACGTTGAAAAGTGAAAACGGCCAATGGTGGCCTATTAAAATGACATATGTCTACCAATTAACCGTAATTACCACCGTTAACCGTTTACCGTTAACCATGTTTACTTACCGTTTTCTAATCTATTCGGCTACTTGCTTACTTGATTATCTGCTTACGTGATCACCAACTTACTTGATCACTTGATTATCATGAATCGCATGTTATATGAAGCTGTCCATCATTGTTAGGCGAGTGTGTACTTTATCTCACTCGACCTACTCAAATGATGAATTTTACCTTTTGCCGAATTACTTGATTACTTGCGCATGTTGTAAGCTCTAAGCTGAACTGGGCCCTGCTCATGGTTACTAACCTACTCGAGCCAGGACTGGGCTCGGTCGGGTAGGTTGGAACCTTGGGACACCGTTTCGGTATACTCGAGTATTACCACTGGAGGGATAAGGTGATGGCCAGTCAAACCGAGGGGATCCGGAAGTCATAAGGTGCAGATGACCGACAGAGTTCCACTGGAACACCGTATCCTTCAATGTGTGTTTATTTTACATAATGATAACCGTTTTATGAAAACGTGCCATACCTATGATATGCTCAAATTACCTGTACAATGATTATTGTCTCATGATAACACGCCATTATGTAACCTTGAACCATGCATATGATATGCCTAACTTACTTGATTTATTTGAACTGTTAGAGTGTCTTGGAACCTCACTGGGCTGTGTAGCTCATACCACGTTGTGGATTTCTTTTCAGGGTTAGAGACCAAGGGTGCTCGTGAGTAGTACTAGATTGTTCTCTTTTGAAGACTTTGAGTTACATTATAACGGATGGCTATAGTACTCTTTTCCGTTGGATTGTATTTAAGTTTGAAAGCTACATAGTTGTAAGTGTAAGATATTTGAAGTACTTTAATTATGTATTGAAGTTACTTATAGTATTTCGAGCTCTTGAATGATGGATTGTAGTGAGTCCTGGCGAGAGCTGGGCAGGCGTCCCGCGGATACCCTTTGGTTCGCCTTAGGGAGAAGTGGGGCGTTACATCTGATCCATCGAAGTGAGCAGTGTGTACTTTATCGCACTAGCCGTTCGAGTGGTGACGTGTGTGAAACATTTTCTAATAAACCCGTGAATCTAAATGTAGTTGCGTCGTTGGGTGAATCCCTCGACTCGTGAATCCAACTACCATAACTTATGAATCCGTGAATCTAAATGTAGTTGCGTCGTTGGGTGAATCCCTCGACTCGTGAATCCAACTACCATAACGTCGGTGGGTGAATCCCTCGACTAATTTTATACGGGTATATCTCGAGTATACTGCGTCGGTAGACGAAGTTCGGGCCCGAAGCAGAGGTATGAATGGTGACGGGTTAGGATTAAAATAAGTGGATCTACATGGACTATAAGTAGTGAAAGTTGACGGAGGGTCAACTACGAGGGTATCTGATCAAGCGAGGAGAATGGCTCCCGAGAGCCCCTGTATCCTACCTTGTGCTGTTATACGCTTTCTTAATTGATTAAATTTGTTTAAATTGTTATCTGTTGTTTGATTTATGTGAGTGCATGTTTTGGGGCACCACTGAGCTTTAGCTCACCCCACGTTTATTTGTTTTCCTTGACAGGTTCTGGAAACTGAAAGCCTTGAACTTACTTATGTTTCTTTTCTTTTGGATGTAATGGATATTACGGCTATTGTGTGGGTTGTGTTATGCTTCAACTTGAATTATGTACTTTTGTTTTAGATTGCCACTTGAAGCTGGAAAAGTGTAAAACCTAATTTCGATATCTGGTTTGTATGAATGTTATTTGTATATCCGAATTGCACGACCCTATTCCCTGGTTGTAACGCATGGGATGTTTAGGAGCCGTTGACTGGCTGTTTTAGTACACTGCTATCTCTGAAGTTAATGTGGTGATAGAAATCGATTTGTTTCGGAAGAATCATTTTTGTAATAGCTTAGGTTAATCGTCGGAAGGTTTTGGGTTAGAATGCTTGCGTGAGTCCTGGCGAGAACTGGGCAGACGGCCCGCCAACCCTTTGGTTCGCCTTAGGGGGAAGTGGGGTCGTCACAGTGCTCTTCACCAACTCCTAAAATCATACAAATATTTCACATAAATTTCCACTTTTGAGTTGGCGAATTTAACTCGAGTCAACTAGCATTTAATTTCACTCAAAAATCCCAAACTAGTATTAATCGTTTTCTCAAAGTGAAATCCACAAATTTCGAATGAAATTAAATTTTGAGGTTTCTTTAAAACCAAAAACTTGCTAAATTCGTCAAATATTTCAGTAACCAAGTTCTAGAGTCATATAAGCAATTAACACCACTTTGGTGTCACAGGTTGAGAAAAATCACATTTACCCATTTAGAGAAATTTTCCCTTCTAATTTTCCCCAAAAATATCTTGGGAAATTCCTTTAAGAGGAAATCATATAAACCAAGTAAAACTAGTCGTTGGAATTTCTATAAAATAGAAACTCCTTAAGTTTACCAAATTCCATTGACCAACTTGGTTCCACGATTTTCATGAAGGCAAAAAAACTTGAGTTTTCAAGAAAATTTCCAGATTTGGCATACTTCTTGAAATAGGGCATTTGGTCTAATAAAATTCAAGGTTATTGACTCGAAGTGGACCTAGTAACAAAGGTTAATGCTAGAAAATATTTTCGGGACAGATTTAGTCCACATTTAACCAAAATGAAATCCAAACGTCAAAATCATTTGTAATTTCAAACAAAATTTCTGTTTTGGGTAGCCTCGTGAAGAATAAAATTTTGGTCCATTTTTTGAACGTAAACTCTACTAAATTTTGTCCCCAAATTGAGCTATACACACCCCTTAACTAAACACAAGTCAAATTGCGTTCATGTTAACGTGAAAATCATTCAACATGTCTCATGCAAAGCTGGAAAAATTTTCAAGTGCATTCGGTACAAGCAGTCCATTTTCTCTTCAATTTGTCCAAACTTTTTCAACTACTCAAAGGCTACATTTTTACCCAAACAATACTTCACATATAAGTTAACATGTTTACAGCTCAAATGGTTCAAAAAAAACTTGTCAAAACCAAACCCCAAATTCGCCCAAAAATCTGGAAATTTCCAGAATTTTTCGGACAGCTCAAGGGGCATTTTTCTCTTTGATTTTTCAATGAAATTTCCCATTGCACCAAAGCTACATTTTCACCAAAACTGCTCTACACATATAGGTGAACATATACACGATTTAAATAGCTCAATAACTTCACAAAATCCAGCTCAAAATTTCGGGTAAAAATGGAAGAAAAACAGGCCTGCTGGTTCGGTTTAGCAGAGCAGAATTTTCTCCTCTTTTTGCTCAACCATCTTCAACTTATAACTCATACTTTAAGTCCATAACAATCACAACTAATTAGTCTAACCTCCCAACAAGCAATCCAGTTCATTACCTAAGCAAAAATTGCAAAACAACAACCGGTAACAAAGCTGGAAAATTGCTCCCTCATCCGGCCAGCACCCCATTTTCATTCTTAAAATTTTCCCAACATTTAACCACCACAAAACACACATATAAACACATAAAACACCTCTAGCTTCATCAATCATTAGCTTAGAGGATCAGCAACCCAACAAGTTTCACCAACGCAAGCTAACATTTCAAGAACCAAAAGCTGCAAAAATCTGAAAATTTTGGCTAAGGTGCTAAGCTGGAGTTTGTTACCTTCAAGTGGGTTGTTTACTAGCTAAAGGTATTGTCTAGTTCCTCAAGTTGCTCCTAGAACCACAGAGGGTCAGCCGGCTCCCTTGCTCTCTGTTTCCCTCTCGGTCTGACCACCGACAGCAGCAACACAGCAGCAAACGTTAAGGTGAAGAGAAGCTTGGGTCTGGGGTTTTTGAGTCAGCTTGGAAGGTTCTGTGGTTGGAGGAAAGAAAAATGGCAGCTGGTTTCTCCTTCTCCCCTGGTCCGACGCAACGCCGGCAGCAGCAGCAGCGATCTTCCTCCTCCTTGCTCGGTCGAGACAGCAGCCAAGAATGGAGGTGGAAGCTGGAAATGGAAGCTTGAAGATTGGGGTGTGAATGGCTGAGGATGGAAGGCTGTTAGAAGCTTGGAATGGCAGCGGCTTCTGCTTCTTCTTGCACCAGAGGATCGGGAGCTTGGAGGGAAGATATGGACGTGAAAGCTGGGAGAAGATAGGTTGAAAATGAAGGTAAGCTAAAGTATAGGTTTGTTGACTTTTGGGCCTGCCATTAAGGGTGGGGAAATTTTGAATTGAATCGCGTTTACGCGCGAGAATTTTATCTACTGGTGGGAATTCCCCATTTCACATTTCCTTAGCTTAGTTGTACATTTTTATAACCTCTACATACCCTACATTTCAACTTAGGGCTACATTGCGCATCAGTGCGCAAAAATTCACCCTAATGCTTAGCCGAGCGCGAACCGTCAAATAAATTAAAAAAAAATTCATGTAAATTAAAATATAACATTTATATAAGTGAAAACATCATTAATAATATAAATACATATTATTTAATAATTTCAACATTTAAATAATATTTTGATTTTAATTTTCAGAAATTAATGCAATTTTGAGATCCTCACATCCCCTGTAAGGAAAACAAAACTAACGGAATGAGCTAAAAGCCTCGTGAGGTTCCAGACACATAATCAACTTAAACGAGAACATTAGTCATGTAATAACACGTAATCTAGGAAACATTAACAATATAAATTAGTGATAACACATTCATTAAAAGGATACATGCTCACATGGAGTCTTTCATTCTTTCATTTACCTTTCATTTCCCTATTCCTCCGATCATTTTAAAATGCATTTTGTAAGTGAAAATCCCTCCATTGACATTGTCACTCGTTCATTCGTTTCATCTTTCCCCCTTCTGGACATTGGCCAGACTTCACCCGACAATGTGGAAATACTCGAGTATACCAAACTTTCACCCAAGATCACCAAAATCGCCCATTCGAATCCGCTTCTGACTCGAGTCTACCGGCAACGAAGGGTAAGGGTCTAGTTCAACCAAAAGACTTACATTCATGCACAACTAACATTTAATCACTTAAACATTGAAAATTTCACATTTCATTTAGGTCGAGTGCGATAAAGTACACACTCGCCTAGTAAAATTCATTTTTAACAAACATTTATCATTTAATCAAATATCCACAACAAATCATATAATTAACGGAAACATAACAAACAAACAATACTCACCTATTTATGCAAAATAACGTCCAATGTAACCCTCCGGATAATACCCTCAATCACCGGGGAAGCCTAATAATAACCAAACAGACCCATTATGCTTCAACCATCATAGATTTAAGTGATTCAAAAAAAATTCGAATACGTACTAGTACACTATATAAATATGAGTTTTAAAGTGGAAAGAGTACATTTAAACCAAAGAACATGAGTAACTAAGAGTTTCCCCAAACCAACTACAAAACTATACACAAAAAAAGTTTTTAGAAAATTTTCGCGGAAAACAAATGAACAGTGTCACGTCACAATCCGGCCAGAACTTGGCCGGATATCCGACCGAATTCTAGACCGGATTCAAAGCAGTGAGCAATCCCAATTTTTTCTTCTTTCCCTATCAATTCGGCCAGCAATCCGACAAAGACTTGGCCAAATACACGGCCGAATATGAAAAAGCATTTGTTTCAAATTTTAGCAAAGCTTTTTGTTTGGTTCGAAACTAACACATATGTAAAAAAATAACGTATAACAGGTGTTTTGGGTAAAATCATATGAAAAGGAAGATAAACAAACCCTAAATTCACACCGAAAGCCTCGCTTGAGAAAATTAGGTTTTACGGTCGAGAAACCCTATACAACTCTTCTTGGTTTCGAAAAGAAAATGAGTAAACATTTGAACTTCAAAACTTGACATTTGTATCTAAGTATCATGTTTAAAACGGTTGTCAC